GGGAATGCTCTTCCACCAGATATCTCCATGGTTCCCCGTATCCTGCCCTTTATATCTTTGCTTAACTGTCACCTCCTCAGAAAGGCCTTCCCTGACCATGCTGATAAACCTCTGCTTTTCTTACTCTTTGACCTGTCACTCCCCAGTACAATGTAAGCTACAAAAAGATAGTGATTTTTTTTGGTCTATATTGTTCTCTGCTATGTGCTTAATGCCTAGAACAGTGCCTGGTGCATAGAAGGCACCCCATAATTATTTATTGACAGAATGAACCAGTTTCATTTATTTGTCTTCTTTTTAGTAGTCTCCCTCTCCACTAGTTATATACAACTTGCTATTGAGCATGTGAATGTGACTAATGAGATTGAGGAACTACTGAACTTCAATGTAAACTTAAATAGATACAGAACATTTTCATCATTTCAGACAACTTTCTGGACAACAGGCTTTAGAATATAAGCTCCCAAAGGGCAGAGGTATTGTTTGCTTTAGTTGTTACTATGTTCTCAATGCCTGGCACAAACATTGTGTTCAAGCACTGTGCTCAGCTCAGTCGTACCTGCTGATAAGTGTTGGTTGCGATAATTGGACGGATCACAGGAGCTGCTGGGACCTGCATCGCTTCTACGGTGGGGACCGTGGGCACCGCAGGCACAGCAGTCGGGATGCCGGTTACTGGAGCCCCCAGAACTTCCTGCTCAAACCTGAGGAGGCAAGACCAACAACACAGCTCAGGACCTTCCATTAATTCTGAAACGTTGGGTACACCGCGATAGAGCCTTCACCCCTGCCAATCTCTTCTTACTCCCGCCCGCACAATCCCGAAGGTCCCATTTTCCCCATGATAGAGCCATATCGGGATAAATGCGGCCTGGAGGCTCCAGGGCTCGGTGGCTCTGACTCTGAGGGTTTTTATCGCGCCTTGCCAAGGGCCTTACAGGGCCATCTCCGCCTCCATCTCCTTCAGGCGTTCCTCTCCGCTCTTGCCCGGCATGCCGGCGCCGGGGCCCGGGACCACAGGTCCTCCTGCACCCGGGAGTCCCGGGGCTGGCCCCGCCCCGGCCATCGCTGCTGCCGTCGCTGTCGCCGCTACTACCGCCTCGGCTCAGCGGCCTCCACCAGTTCCGCTGTCTACTCTCTGGTCCTGTCGGGTTGGGCGCCCTCGAATGACGTATCAGCGAAAGCGACGGGCGCTGGTGCATGACATCATACGCCAACGGGGGGGGGGGTCTCGCCTTCGGAGCAAGGCCAATGAGAATCTGGCCACACCTGGAGGGCCCACCCCTAGAAGGAATATAGACCAATGAGAGTGCGGGAAAAACAAACCAATGAAGAGCCTGGGTCTAAGTAAGTGAAGGCAAATGAGGTGGCCACGCCTTCTTTGGAGGAACGAAGGCTAATGAGAGCGCTGTAAAGTAGTTGGCCCCGTCCCTACAGAGGAAACTGGGCCTTTGAGAGCTCAGAAAAGTTTGGAGGCCCCGCCTGTGCCACTGAAGCTCGTTCCGGAAGTTTTAAAATGCATCGAAGTCCGCGTCAGCCCAGGGATGTTTGAGGCTGGAGACTGCTGAATACCGTAGCCTTCCCAACTGGGATAGACTGACACCGGTGACTCCCAGAAAAACCAGGAACAGGATGTGGGAAGCTCATAGGGGGCGCCTGACCTTCTCCAGGAGGAGAAGGTAACACCTGACGACTTCTTGCTAGATGAAAATGGAGAGAGATGGGAGGAATCGTAAAGGCCTAGAGTAGTAGAATGCGGCAACTCAGAAAGTCGTGTGTAGGTTTGGTCTCTGTGTCCTTTCTTGGGACACAGCTGACCCCTCCTTTTCTTCCTAGTCCTCAATAGGTTTCATTATGAATATTTAAAATACACAACACTAGAGAAGAATATAACGAGCTTCCATGTACCTCTCAACAATTACTAATATTCTACCTTGTTTCATCTATGCTTCTCCTCCCTCTTCTTGTTGGAGTATATTAAAGCAAATTCCAGACATCAATTCCTCCACAAATACTTCATGATGTGTGTCTTAACAGATAAGGCCTCTTTTCACGCCCAAGAAAACTAATTTCTGATTTCGTTCTCGGATTTCGGTGCGCGCGCGCGCGCACACACACACACACACACACACACACACACACACGGGGAAAAAATTAACTTTTTTGGTGTCATCTTACACCCAGACTGTTCAATTTTCTCTGCCTCAAAAAATTTGTATAAAATCAGGCTACAAATAAGGTATGCACATTGGGTTTGATTGGTTGGTCGGTCTTTTTTTTTCTGTCAAAACTTTTGTTGGCTGTCTTGGTTTCTTGAAGTTCCAAGATTAAATCAGCACTAATGAATGATTTGTTAAAATACTGGCTTTTGTTTGCTTCTTTACAATAGATGTGATAAGAGAATAGGACGCTTTTTCTTTTTTAACATTATCATTAACTAGAGTCCATACTTTGATTTTCTTAGTGTTTAAGCTCTTCTGTTCGTTCATTGCATCCAGGATACATTGCATGTAGTTGTCATATTTTCTTAGGCTTCTCTTGCCGGTGACAATTTTTCACACTTGTTTTTCATGAATTTGTTAGTTTTGAGGAGTACTGGTCAGGTATTTTGTAGAATGTTCCTCGTTTGGGATCTGCTATTTTCCTCATCATTAGGCTGGGGTTATGCATTTTGTGGGGGTGAGGGGAAAGGCTGCAGAAGTAAAGTGAAGTTCTCATCATGTCGTATCAAAGGTACATTTTATCAACATAACTGTTGGTGTTAACTTTGATCTCCCAGCTGGGGTACCATTTGTCAGGTTTCTCCACTATACTTTTCTTTTTACTCCCTTTCCATGCTCTTTGGAAGGAAGTCACTATGCCCAGCCTACACTTAAGGGGTGGAGAGTTAAATTCCACCTCCTTGAGAATGGAATATTTACATAAATTATTTGTAATTCTTCTGCACAGGAGATTTGTCTATTCTTTTATTACATCTTTTTTATCAGTATGGACTCATATTTTATACTTTGGGTTGTAATTCAGTATTACTTTATTTTGTTGCTCAAATTGTTCCAATTTTAAAATCTTAAGTCTTGGGGTGTCTGGGTGGCTCAGTCAGTTAAGCCTTGGACTCGTGACTTTGGCTCAGGCCATGATTTCAAGACTCGTGAGTTTGAGCCCCACATTGGGCTCCACACTGACATTACATAGCCTGCTTGGGATTCTTTCCCTCCTGCTCTCATTTGCACGCTCTCTCAAAATAATCTTTAAAATCTTGTCTTTTAGTCTATAAATTTCCCTCCCTCTGCCTTTTTCTACCTTCCTTCCTTCCTTCTACCCTTTCCTTCTTTTTCTTGTTTTTATGTTTTCATCAGTAATCCCCCTTACTGCATCTGGATTTTGAATTATATTTAGGCAAGTTTGCCCAACTTCTAGTTTATAGAGAACTTCACCTTCATGGAACTCATATTCTGTTTGGAAGACAATAAAGGATAAATAAAGTAGAACATAAAGTATATTAGAAGACGTACTACAGAGAAAGATTAAGCAGGGAGGGGGGGCAAGGGCCCCCCGTGTTCAGTCTTGGCTAAGAGCCAAGACGAAGAGAGGAGGGGAACACTAAGGTGGCACATTGTAAAGCAAACATGTTAAAGACACAAAGATGTCAAATCTCCCTCATTTGTAAACTCCCTGCAACCCCGATAAAACCCCCATCTGTGTATTTTTTCTGGAACCAGGTAAGTTGGGTATAAAGTTTATTTCATTTTGGAAAAAAAATTAGCAAGAGGGAAACCTTGAAAAATTAGAGCAAGACAGCAACCAGCCATTTCAGATACTAAAACATATTTCAAAATCTTTATAATCAAAACACTGTGGGGATGGCATATGAGAGTCAGACAGACAATAGGCTTGGAGAGAGTCCAAATATAGCCTGATTAATCATGGAAACTTAGCTTATGAAGAGGTGGCATCTCAGATCACCTGAAGTTTTACTTTATATAGGTGGGTAGTTTTACTCTATAAATTGAAGAATAATTTACAGTGAAATGCACAGACCTAAAAAGTATAGCTAGATGGGTTCTGACACCTACCCTTATTACCTTCAACATATAATCCACTTCCAACTCTACGAAGTTCCCTTGTCTCCTCCTTGGTTGATCCCTGCTACCCACCTCTCCTTCAGAGGCAACAACTGCTCTGAGAATTTTAAGAAGTGCTATTGGGATACATGTAAAATATGACAAAATTGGATCCATTTGGATAAATTCCAAATGACTTCAGAGATTTAGATGTAAAAAAAGGAAACTACATAAAAACTAGAAGACAACCCCCCGCCCCCCGCCCCTGCCCCGTCTCCTTGACCCTCACACTGGCATGTTGGAGCTCAGGACTGTTGCTAAGCTGCAACCTCCCTCCCACCCCTGACCCCCACAAGCCCTCCTCAGACACCCACATGCTTCCCTCTCATTACCTTTACAGAGTGTGTGTGGCCTTCTATGTAAAGTTGCACCTCTTTACAGCTTGCTTTATTTCCATAGCTACCTCCTAACATACTCAGGGATATTTGCCCACCTCTAACTTGGCTAGGGTCCATTTCCCTGTCCTAGAATAACAGCTTCCTGAAGTCTGGGACTTCTGTCCATTTCGTTCAGTGCTGCATCTTCAGTGTTTAGGCAGGTGTGCTCACGACGCTTGCTAAGGGTGAAAGTGATGAGGGTAGTTTCAGGGGGACTTAGGGTGGGGTCCAGATGGCCCACTGCCTTGGCTTTGATGGGATGAAAGGACAGGTGCAAGGGGCACCAGAGGAATAGAACAGCCCAGAGGGGACAGCAAGTGTGGGTAGAGACGGTGGGTTGATATATCTGGGCGATGTTCCCTTCCAAAGGTCTTATGATGGGGTGAACAAACGAAGCTCTTGAGTTCTGTTTGGGCCCCCTTTTCATCTGCACAGTTGTTGCAGAGCCTTGCCTGGACCTGTGAGGCTGCAAGCCACTGGGCAGGGACAGGCTCCTGCAGAGTCAGACAGGGCGGCTGGCCTGGCTGCTCCCACTCTGGGAAAGGAGGACAGTGTCACAGGCCCGTGGGACTCTAGGACACTCAGTGGCCTCCACACCCCCCCCCCCCCAACACCTCCTCCCTCAAGGTGGCACTCCCCAGGTCCTGCCCGTCCACCCAGCCTCCAGGACCCTGCCCCACCATCGCGCCCCCCCTCCACCAGTCCCCAACAACCCCTGTAGTTTCTGGGATTCGCTCCAGCGCTTGTTTCAGCAGGTTCTCCAGCTGCTTCAGAGCCTGCTGATTCTCTTTCTCTGTTCCTTTTCCCGAGCTGCCCGGATCTGCAGCAGCTCTGCAGGTGAGAAACCCAGGAGGCAGTGCTGAGTCCTCTGGCTCCTGGGGTCTCACAGCCAATGGGTCACCAAGTCTCCAGTCACCTAGTGTTGACTCCACTCCTCTCCTACACTCTTCCTTCCACTTTCATCTCATGGGCAAGCTTCCATCGTCTCTAAGTTTATCCTGTGATACCTTCTCCTCCAGGACAGACCATCAGTCTTCTCGGCCCATCCTTCAGCTTCCTCCCCCTTCCCCCCTTCCCTACTCACCCCCCAGCCTCCCTCCTATGCTCCAGGCCTCAGCCTCCAATTCTGGTCCATGCCTCTGGTACATGGCAGCCAGAATGATCTTCCTAAGGCATAAACCTGATCCTTTCCCTCTCCTGCATGGAACCCTCCAAGGCCCCCCAGTACCCCCAAGAGAGAGTCTGAGCTCCTCAGGCCAGTACTTGAGGGTTTGCACTATGTGACCTCTGCTACTATCAGCCCTCACCTATCCCTCTGGGCCCATTCGAGACACCACTTTCCCCCTGGAAGCCCTTCCCAGCCTTCCCCACCCCGAGGCTTCCTCCTCAGACTGCTGTAGGTTCACTCCAGCAGTGTTGCCCTGGAGACTATGACTGGGTCTAGTCCCTCTCCATAGGCCCAAACAGGCCCATCTCAGAGCAAGTACAGATCAGCATTGTGGTCAGAGCCCTTGGGCCTGAATCCTGACTCCATTCCATCCTTGCCTTCTGACCTCAGGCATGACATGTGCCCTTTCTTCAGCCACTTCTGCAGTCAGGTGTAACTGAGCCACAGGCTAGCAGGGCAGGCTGCAGACTGGGGCACTCTGAAGCAGGACCTACAAGGCTTGTTGACAGGTTGAAGGTGGGGGGGCAGCTTAGGGTCCTGGGAGGAATTAGGATGACTCGTGGATTGCTGACCTCAGTAAGGAGGGTGAGGTCACTTTTTGAGGGAAGGAAACCAGGCAGAAGAAAAACAAAACTGCTTTTCAGAACAGGGGGAACTATGCTCTGTTACAGACATGCTAAAGCCCAAGATGCCCATGAGGTGCGACGATGCTGTGCCAGTCTTAGGCTGCTCCCGACACAGCTCCCTGTCACTGGAGGGGGAGGCAGGGAGCCTGAAACTCAAAGGCCCGAAAATGACCTCTTCCTGCTTTGCTGATGGCACCTCGGTTCATTTCTCATCAATACACCTCTTCCACCTATTTATCCTTTGATTCTGCGCTCTTTGCTTCTACCACTGGGATCCCTGGGGCTGGACAGCTCGGGCGTCCTCTCCCCATTGAGCTCTGGGGGCCAGTAGCAACACAGCAAGTGCTAGCTGAGGGAATCTAGTGATGAACAACTTTTCCGAGTTTCAGTATTTTCATCTGTAAATTGGTCTTCATAATCTCTACCCTTATGGTAAGGACTGAAAGAGACTCCACATGTGCAGACAAAAAGATCGCAACCACACCAGAGACGCATAGCGCTTACTGTATGCTGTGCATTGTTCAGTGCCCTGTTTGGGTAACCGGACTGAGTCTTTGCAGCAACTCTGTAAGGTGCTATGATTATGCTTACTCCACTGAGGAGGAAACTGAGGCACAAAGAGATCACACAGCAGGGAATAGGTAGGGCTAAGAAGAGTTTAACTCCACAGCCTAGCTTTTAACTACTCAAGTATCCTATTGGATGGTGATACATGAGAACTTTGCAATTTGATAGGCAGTGTCACCTGGTTAGGAGTACAGACACATGTCAGACTGCCTGGATTTAAATCCTAGCTCTGCTACCTAAGCAGCCACCAAGGCCTCCTGTCTTAGTCCTTGCCTCTGTAAATGGGGCAAATGGCAGTGCTAACCCCATGGGGCTGCTGTGCAGATGAAACCCGTGAACATGCTTAAAGCTGACTCAGCACACAGTAGGCACTGTGTCAGCACTGAGTGTTTGTGATTTCTTCTGGAGGCTGATGGCCCTGGGAATGGGCAGGAATGCCACTTGTGAAGGCAAGGCCTTACCCTGGGTGGATGGTCCTGGGGGCAGGCTGGTCTTCATGTGGAGCAGATCCCAGGACCGGAGACTCTGCTGGTCCTGGAGAAACAGAAGTTCCTGACGAAGAGAGGCAGCCTTTGGGAGGAGCAGTTCTGGAGCCTGGAGGGAGGGGGAAGGACAGTCATTTTGGGAGGGGGTAGGAGTGGGAAGACAGGTCCTAAGGGACAGAAACTCACCTTCCCTGCAGGCAGCCCCAATCTGTGGCTCAGCACTATGAGGCTGGAGCTCCTTGGGGACGTGGGATGCAGCTGGTAGATGGATGGCAGGACCGTGGGCAGGGGCTGTAACCTGGAGGGAAAGTCCAGGTTGGGTGGGGCACTGGGAGGAGGCTTGGGTTCCAGAGGTTTCGGGGGCTGAGAGGTGGGCTCAGGAGGCCCAGGAACTTGGAGGTGGGTCTGGGGACTAGGATTCCAGAGTTAGGACTGAGGACTTGTGGGCGAGGTCTGGCAGGTTGGGAACACTGGGGGCCTGGGATTATTTTTTTGGAGTAGAATCAGGGAGTGATAGTCATCGGTGGGAGGGGATATAAGGGGTGGCTCCAGTCTTACCCTCCAGGGCTGTGCCGAAGCAAGGTGTCCAACAGAAGGTGGGGAAGATGCCGGGCTTCCTCCTCCAGACAATGAAGCAGTTTCTGGGACTGTGGTGCCACCGCTTCAGATGTGGGGACCACTTTTCGCTGAAGCAGAGCCAGTACCTGTGGGGAAGGAAAGGGATGGGAAGGGCAGCCTGGAGCCACCCAGCCCCATCTGTAGGAGCCCTAGCCCTACCCAGACCTCGCCTCAACTCCCGTCTCACCTCTGCAGGGCTCCGGCACAGGCGCGTCTTGCTGGCTGAGTTGCCTTTGATGAGCAGGCGGATCTGTTCCTGTGTCTCCTCCTGGGTAACCATGAGGCCACTGAGATGGGCTGCTTTTACTTCCTACCTCCCAGCTTCTGGCCCTGCCTGCCCCTTTGTACAGGTCCTGCTTCCTCTTGGAAGACTCATCGTGGGCCCCTCCCCACCACCAGAGGCCCAGTTCTGGATCCTAAGGCTCCCAGCCTCTCTCTGGCCCTCCATGCAGCACTGCCACTTCCCCTGAGGCCCGCCTCTCACCACCAGCCGGCGCCAGTGCAGGATCCGTTGCTGTTTGGCCTGTAGCTCCTGTAGCAGAAGCTGCCGGCGCCCAGCCACCTCCTCCAGCTCCTGGCTCTGAGCACGCAGGGCCTTGAGCTCTGCCCACAGGCCACAGCCTCGGAGTCCCAGCACCAATGCCTGCCTGGGGCGCAAGCAGAAGAGAGCAAGGGAGAGGAAGGTGACTAAGACTCATAGTGGAAGAGGGAAATCAGATCTATGAGGATGCACAAGGAGCCACAAACACGGAGACAAACCAGAAGAGCAGGGAGGCAGAGCTGGGAGCCACAGGGGCAGAAAATGTCCAGTATTCTGAGACTTCTGGGAGAGAGATGGCCTAGAGTCTCTGCTGAGAGAGCCCCCTCACCTCTCGCTGGATTCCAGGGCACATTTCTTCACCTCCTCCATCAGGCCTTGGAGGCGCTGGGTCAGGATTTGATGCTCCTTCAGCAGGGGGCCCCGCTGTGCAATCAGCATACCCACGTCCCGCCAGCCCTCCTGGGGCAGGGGTATAAAGTCAGGGTGGGTATGATCCCTGGGGGTGAGGGGATTAACCGGGGCTTGGGATGGGAAGGAGATGGAATCCTGGGAAGGATGCCTGGGGGTCACCTGGATGAGATGCACCATGGACGGCAGGGCCCGGCTGGAGTCTGGCTGGTCTGGTGCTTGGGACCTGGAGGTGGGATAAAACTGAGGGAGGAGCCCTCTCCCCTTCCTGAGTTCTCAGGGATGGCCAATGTCAGCCCACCTGCCAGACTGATCATTGGGCTTCAGCTCCATCCCCATCAGCAGGTGACTGTGCCTGGCCCTGAGTCTTCCGGCTTAGCCATCCCCTGGCCCTGCCCCACCCTCAGGAGCACTCCACTTCACACCTGGTTATCTCCGTATCTTGGAGCCCATCTGGACTGCACAGGGACCGAATCTCTGCCTCCCGCTCCTCAGCCAGGTGCTCCAAGGAGGCCAGGATGTGGCCCGGAGGATGGTTTGTCAGTAGTGTCTAGTGGGGGAAGGGTAAAGTAGGGCTGGATGGGTGTAGGGCTGTGAGCTAGGACCCATGGTGATGAGGCAGTGATCAAGAGTTAGGTTCTGGCACCCTGAGGTTCGCTCATGGGGCAGAAGGTGTGGCCTTTCCTGAAAGCCCCCCTCACCTCCACTGAGCTAAGCCACTGCTGGTAGGAAGCTCCAAAGTGGTCATCTCGAGGGGTTCTGCAAGGTTAGGGAAGGGGACAGAGAATATTACAAGATCATGTCAACACTCCCTCTACTGATTACCACTACCCCTAAGGTGCGGGCTATTTTAAGCGGTCCCTATTTTAAGGATGAGGAAACCAAGTCCATCAGGATTCCATGCCTCCTAGACTTGAGTTCCCTGCTTATACCAACTAGCTAGACTTAGGGCCTTTCACATGTGCTATTTGTCTAGAATACTCTCTTAACCTTTTACCCTCGCTAAGCCTCCTCACCAGAGAATCTGTCCTCCCTGACTCCTTAGCTGAGTAGTGTCTCCTTTGGGTACCTGGAGTTTCTCAGGCTTCCCCGCCTCCAACATCCCTAACCACCTGGTTGTCACTATCTGTGACGGATTTGTCTCTTCCTTGTCCCAGCCTGGGAGCCGTCAGGGCAAGATCTGCAGCTGACATAGTCCAGAGGCTCAGTGGCTGAGGAATTAACAGATAAGGGACTCCCCCCTCAAAGCCCAGGTTCTTGGCAGGGTCTGTGGGGCCTGGATGACACTCACAGGATGCTGCCTCCCTTGGCCTGAGGAACTAGGAGGTTCTGCAAAAATTGGGTCCGGAGGGTACAGGCTGTTCGGACATCACCCTGGGAAAAAGAGGATGGGGCATGAGAGGAACCCAGACTGACCCACCCACCCACCTGACCCCAGACTCTCCACCTCTTTCCCCATGGCCCAGGACTCTTACCAGGACCACAGGCTCCAGTCCCAGGGATGCTGATGATAAGGGTCGAAAGGTTATATCTACTGTGGCCTTCCTGGAGAGAAAAATACAGTTGGGGTGGGGGTCCCTGGGAGAAGAGAGCTAGGAGAACAGATATCTGTGTCTCCTCCTGCTGCAAGGCTAGTCACAGGGATCAGTGAGCCTGGATCTCAGGGGCCACCTCTAAAATTAGACCACTGTCATCTTTATTAGCTTCCTCACTGGTCTCTGCTCTTGGCTCCTGTGGTCTGTTTCTATCTAGTAGTTAACGATCCTGCTAAAACCTGACACGTCATGTCACCTTTCTGCCCCAAACCCTTGAAAACAATGTGTTTTCCCACCACATTCAGAATAGCAACAGTGGGTATCAGAAACTCTTTTAAGCATTCTGCGTGATTTGACTCATTAATTATCATACTTACCCTATACAGTAGGTTTAACATTATCCCCATTCTACAGTGCTTACAAACTGAGGCACAGAGAAGTTAAATCATTTGCCCAAGTTCATAGAGAAGTGGACAAGCTAGGGCATGAACCCAGCCTCAGAGTAAAATTCCGATGCTTCCATAGCACTCTGTCCCTGTCTCTGACCTCATCTCATGCTCTCCCTTTTGCCTGTGTAACTTAAGCTAAACTGGCCTCCTGGCTGTTCTTCCCACATGCCAAGCTCAGCACCTCTGCTCTTGGTGCCCCTCTCCATGGAGATTCCTCCCCCAACACAAATGGCACCTTCTCAGAAAGGTCTTTTCTGACCATCCTACCTAGAGTAGCATCTCCCTCTCCCGTTCTCCACACTACCCTTTTTATCATAGCATTTATGTCTCCCTGCAATTATAGAGTTTGCTTCCTAATTTACCATCTCTCTCTTCTGCATCAGAGTATAAGATCCATGAGGGCAGGGACTTATCCCTTATTTACTGTTCTTTCCCCAGAACATTCCCTAGGTATACAGCTGGCACCATTCTAGGCACTGGAAATGTAAGTGGCTAAGGTGACAAAATTTCTTGGCCTCACAGACTTTAAATCCTAAGGAGTGGAGCTCAGAATTGTGGAACCCAAGAAGGGGTCAGGGTCTCTAAGGAAAATGTCTGTGCACTTGGCCTGGTGAACGCTGGTCCCTGGGAACCTGAGGCCTACCTCTCTATGTCCTGCAGACGCTTCAATTGATTCTGTAGCCGCTGCATGGGATCTTGAAGCCCACGCTGCTGTCTTCGCATGGCCCCAGCTTGGGCCCGGAGGAGGACAGCACGACGCTGGGTGTCTTGAATGCTCTGTAGGGCCTGCTCCATGGCCATGTCTGTAAGAGAAATGGGGTGACCATCAGCACTGCTGCTCATCTTCTCAGCCCCGTAGGTCACCCTGAGCCTCAGTCTCTCGCTCCATCAGCTCCAGGCTGCTCATCTTCCCAGCCCCATAGGTCACCCTGAGCCTCGGTCTCTTGCTCCATCAGCTCCAGGCTCTGGTCTAACTCCTGGATCTCTGCCCGCAGGCGAGCAACAGTGGCTTCCAGCTCCAACTTCCGACGGGCCTGGTGGGATCAGGTACAGAGTCAGGTGCATGGCCTGGCTGGGGCTTGGCCTGGCTGCCCTTTGTGGAACACCAGTCTCCTCACCTGCACAGGTAGGTGGCAGGGGTTTTTTCCTAAGCAGTTTCTGTGTCTGATTCTCTAGGCCCAGAAGAACACTAGGGTACCATCTGTCTTCCTCCTTCCTCCTGGGATTGCCTCACCTATCCTCTTAACCTGTTTCCTGTCTCTGCACTGATGACACTACAGCTGTGCCCTAGGTCTCATCTCCCCACGAAGAGCCAAATCTAGGAGTCCCAAGGTCTTCTGGAATCCTCCCCCAGATGTCACCTGGGCCTCTTGCACACAATAGGTCCTCCATTGGCCTCAGTATATCTCCTAAACCAGTCCCTTCTCCCATCTCCCCTCATCAGCTTTGATGCCTCATATCCACGTCCCCTCAACATCCAGCTCATGCCTGTCTCCCCTGGACTGTAAGCCCTGAGTGTCGAGATCAGAGCTGGCAGATCAACCCAGCGTCCCCAGCATTACACAACACGAAGCTGGGCCTAGAGCAGAAATCTACAAATCCTCTTTTTGGATGGAAGAAAATCGTATAATACATGCTTCTCACCTCTGGACTGTCCTGGTGGCCATACCTGAGGAAATGAGGCCAGAGTTAGCGGGTGACGGGACTTCCAGGGGGAGACAGGAGGTGTGAGGCTACGGGTGAAAATACAGCTGGATGGGAGTAGGGAAAATAGGAAGGGAATAGCTTTTAGAACCAGTTACCAAAGTAAGTTTCCTCGGATCTTCTTGACATTCCTACAGTGGAGAGGTAGAAGGAAGAAGTGTTACTGTGAGGTTTGCCTGTGTCCCCTCCCCTGTCACAGCCTCCCTCATGCAGCCAGGCTCACCTCTGGCTATGCACATGCCGCAAGACATAGGCCCAGATGTCGGCCCCCTGGCCCAGACACAGTCTGTGGAGACAGTGTGTAAGGGTATGCCTGGGGCATCACAAAGGTTGGGGGATCCTTATTCCCAGGGTGGCAGTGGTGGGGAAAGTCTTTACTAGGGAATTGTCGCTTCTGGGGCGAATGGGGATGTGTCCACAGTCTTTGGGGTGAGATATTCCTTCCTGGGGAATTCTTGGTCACTGAGTTGTGGGCTTTTCACTGGGTGTGGATATTCTCATTCCCTGGTGGGGGGGGGGGGGGGGGGTGTGGAGATTCCTTTCTCTGGGAGAGGGCTATCGCTGGTCACTTCCAGAGGTGGGAGTGGAGAGTATACTGCCAGGAACTGCTCTCTCATTACCAGATATGGATCATCACCCTTCTAGATTCAGTCTCCAGTGGGGTGGTCTTTGCTGACCTGGAGTCTCCTCACTGGCTTGGGACGGTAGGGGTGGTAGGTGCTGTAGGGACAGTCTTGCTCCAAAGATCTCACTTCTACATAGTTTGGGGGCTTTACTAACTCTCAGAGGATCCTCACTGGTGCCTCGCCCTCACTCTGGGTGGTCTCACGGGGTGGGGGGTGGGGGTGGGGGGGTGGGTCTTCACTCAATCCGGGATCCTCTTCCCAGATATATTACTGGGTGTGTGGGTGGGTAAGGGGGACGCCCTCGGGGGTTATTCTCATTGGGGCAGAGGTGGGGAAGACGAAGGAGGGTCTTCAGTGAGGGGTGGGGTTCTCACCCCCGGAGACTATCTCTAAGGTATGGAGTCCTCACTGTCAGAGCGTCCCTCACCTGCGCAGAGTTGACTCCGGGGCCCGGGCTGCCGCGGGCGCCCCCATCTCTTCCGCCGCCCAGCAGCCCAGTTCCCGCGCTTCCTGCACTAACTCCATGTCAGCGCGCCGCGGCGGCCGCTTCCCGCACCCTCTTCAAGTGTGGCGCCCGCCTCTGGCGTCACGGGCGCGCCGTCAGTGACGCCATCGGTTGCCAAGCAGACTGGGGCCTCGCGGCTCTTCAGCGTCGCGGAGAAGTCCTGCGTGTCTGGCTCCTCCTGGATGGGTCCCTTCGAGTGAAGACGAAAGGGGTGTGGAGAAACGGTGAGGCCTCTTCGCTTCCGGCCTCCTCCCGCTCACTACCAAGTGTCCCCAAGAGGCAAAAGGTCCCAAATGCCTCCCTCGATTTTCTTGACCAAATGGGACTTTCATCCTTGGAGGTCAGGTGCGGAGATGCCAAACTTATGCTTTTTGATTTCAGAAACAGAGTGTTTCCGGTCTGAGGGATAGGGGGCCGATAGCAGGACCCTAATATTTCCCTGGCATGCATTCTTCCAGGTATTCGTTCGTCTTTACCATTCCATAACATTCGTGAGCCGACGCTGCCGACCCTGCCCTGGGGACATCGCGGTGGAGGAGACTGGTCCAGTCCCATGTGGAGCTCACAGTTCAGTGGGGGAGTTAGAGCCTCACCACCACCAGGTAGGGATGGTAGAGTATAAGCTGCAGGACTGGGTCAGTTGGGGACACAGGGAGTGTGCGAGGTCTGTCGCCCGCCCCTGAAAGCATAGGATACTGGGGCTGGGGTTCTGGAGAGCCCACTCAGCCTCAGACAGGCCCCCGAGGAATGGCAACATTCAGGGACCTTTTACCGAGCATGCATGCCCAGCTCACTACTCTGTCCTCAGTGTCCAGTATAAAGCCTAAGTCTCTAAGTAGTTATTCAATAAACAAATGAGGGGAGAGGTGGTGGGGTGAGAATAAAGCTGGGGACTGAGGGACGAGGGTGGGGCAGGATGAGGTGTGGGGGTCGAGGGCAATGGTGGGTGAAGTAGGGATGCGGAGAAGAGAGGAGGACACTGAGTGGGTCATGAGACTGATTGGCTGTAGAGGGCGGGGTATCCAGGGTGAGGTCCCAGCTCTGGGCTGGGGATTAGATGGAGCAGACCTTGAAATGCTGATGTGAGAGAAGGGACAGCTTTGGGGGAGATGCTGATAACAATGTGGGTGTGAGGAGTTAAGGGGACATCCAAGGACTGGCTGAGTCACTGGCCCAGGGACAAGGGGACATGGCACCACCACTGAGATAGCACATTTCGGGGAGAAGCTGAGACCAGCTTCTAAGTGCTTCATAAGGGCTGAGAAGCAGAAGGGGGTGCCAGGGGCTGATGTAATCCAGGTGGGTTTCCTGGAAGAAAGATTAGCAGCTACTACTCCACAATGCTTAATTCTCAAAAGGTGCCGTTTCTCTCAAACATTGCCACCCTTCTGCCTTTTGTAGGGTGTTTTGCTATTAAAAAACAAAATCAATTAGCATGTCTGCCATTTGTCTATGAGCCTTTCCAGGGGCTTTAAAAAGTACTGTCCAAATGTCCATCGACAGATGCATGGATAAAGAAAATGTGGTATATATATACAATCGAGTATTACTCAGCAATCAAAAAGAATGAAATCTTGCCATTTGCAACAACGTGGATGGAACCAGAGGGTATTATGCTAAGCAAAATTAGTCCGAGAAAAACAAATATCATATGACTTCACTCATGTGGAATTTTAAGATACAAAACAGATGACCATAAGGAAGGGAAGCAAAAATAATATAAAATAAGGAGGGGGACCATATATGAGACTCTTAAATACAGAGAACAAACTGAGGGTGGGGGGATGGGCTAAATGGGCAAGGGGCATTAGGGAGGACTCTTGTTGGGATGAGCACTGGGTGTCATACCTAGGGGATGAATCACTGGAATCTACTCCTGAAATCATTATTGCACTCTATGCTAACTAACTGGGATGTAAATTAAAAAATAAATAAATGAAATTTAAAAAAATTTAAAAAAGAAAGTACTGGTTGTTAAGAGAATGAAAAGATAAATCACAGACTGGCAGGAAATATTTGCAAAACACATACCTGAAGATGGACTTGTATCCAAAATATACAAAGAACTCTTAAAACTCAACCATAAGAAAACAAATAATCTACTTAAAAATAGACAAAAGTTATGAACAGATATCTCACCGAAGGAGATGTACAGGTGGCAAATAAGCACAAAAAGTTGCTAATACCATGTCATTAAGGAATTGCAAATTAAAACAATGAGATAACTCTACACACCTATTAGAATGTCTAAAATCCATTTAAAAAAGTGGTTCCAAATGCTTTCGAGGATGTGGAACAACAGGAATCTCATTCATTGCTGGTGGAATGCAAAATGATACAGCCACTTTGGAAGACGATCTGAAAAGATCGTCTGTATGACTACAAATATATAGCATTCTAGAAAAGGCAAAACTAGATCAATGGTTGCCAGGAGATCATGAGGTGGGGGATAGGGATGGAAAGGTGAGGCTCGGCATTTTTTTTTTTTAAGTTTATTTATTTATTGTGTGTGAGAGAGAAAGAGAACACAAGCGGGGTAGGGCAGAGAGAGAGAGGGAGAGCCAAGAATCCCAAGCAGGCCCCATGCCATCAGTGCACACCACTGTGAGGTCATGACCTGAGCCAAAATCAAGAGTTGGATGCCTACCCAACTGAGCCACCCAGGCGCCCCAAGGCTTGGCATTTTTAGGAGCGTGAAACTATTTTGTGTGATACTGAAATGGTGGGTACATCACATTATGCATTTATAAAAAGCCACAGAACCGTACAGTACAGAGTGAGTCTTAATGTGAAGCATAGATTCTAATTAATAATGTTTACTCTTGGTCATCAGTTGTAACAAAGGTACCATACTCCTGCAAGATGGTAATAATAAGGGAAAATATGTGTGGAGGGACAGGAAGTATGTGGGAACTTTCCTTTCTTTTTGTGTAACTTTCTGTAAGCATAAAACTGCTCGTGAAAAATAAAATCTATTAAAAAAGAGAATTGGCTGAAAGTTGGAATATTATCTAATGAAACATCTATAACCATGACCTAATGATAACTAATCAGATACACCTTGACTGAAGCTATGGCATAAAAGGATTCTGTATGTTTTGGAAGAAAGGCTAAAACCAAATAAGAGATAACTACTACAGTTTCCCCTCCAACTCTAAAGAAATGCCACCCGGAAACTATTAGAAACATCCACTCAAGGTGCTTATGTGACCGTCTCCCCGGCAGTCACTGATGAGCTTCTCACCACTCTCCTCCAGTCTCTATGCTGTGGCTTTGTAATGTGTCAGCTGAACGAACTGTATCTTGGAATTACCTTCTCTGTATGATTTCAATTAGGATGGACCCATAGAGAGCCTTGGGCAAGATTTGGTGGGCAGAAGTGAAGCAGCTGCCGTTTTGTAGATCACACAGGTTGTCACTGGCTGGCTCTGCTGGGTCATCACGTTTGCACAGGGCAGCAGCCGGGCCAGCAATTGTTTCACCTTTTCCTGGATCTTCCTCCCAGCTTCTCAGCTCCTGGGCCAGGTGTGGGTTTATCTCCATAATGAAGGATGGCAGCTGTTCCTGTGGACGTTCACACCACCAAGGGCAGAGGCCCCCTTGTCGAGTTTCTCCCCACTTTATGTCTGTCTTCCTTTCCTAACTGCCTGCCCTGTGCACTTCAAGTGCCAGCATCAGACCCTAAGACCACAATGTTAGGGACTGCTTCATAACTCCAATTGCATAAGGTTAAATCCCAGTTCATCTGCCTATCTATCCGTCCATCTATCCATCCCCCCAGTGGGTCAGCTTCTCTGATGGAACCCTGATACACTCTGTAAGCAGAGACTCTGGATGCCTGTGGAATTGCTGTTACCTCAAGCTGTCGTTCATGGAGGAAGTTGCAGTGGCTTTCCTCTTCCTCTCTTACATAAGAAGAGGATGTTTTTGTCTCCACCCTCCAAAAGGCTGATACAAAAAGGTGAGATTGGCAGCTTACGGAAGAAATATAAGTCCCCTCTGTACCCCTACTGTGTTCGGTCTGTTCAATATACTTGACAAAATAATTATCATCACCTGTATTCTGCTCCTGGTCCCTGTTTGACAAGCTTCAAGCTTTCACATCAGTGTCTGTAATTTGCTGCTGTATTACAAGGTGTTCAAAGACCAGCTTTCTCCAGGGGCTTGTTAGAAATACAGAATCCCTTGCCCCTCCACTCCTGGACTTACTGAATCAAAACATGCATTAAGCTTTTTTAATAAAATTTTTTTTAATGTTTATTTATTTTTGAGAGAGAGAGCGAGAAAGCGCACATGAGCTGGGGAGGGGCAGAGAGAGAAGGGTACAGAGGGTCCAAAGCAGGCTCTTTGCTGACAGCCCACAGCCCAATGCGGGGCTCGAGATCATGACCTGAGCCAAAGTTGGACGCTTAACCAACCGAGCCACCCAGGCGCCCCCTAAACATGCATTTTGATCAAATCTATCAGTGATTTGTATGCATATTAAAGCTTAAGAAGTGTCATCTATAGGACACTACTTTTGGGGGATAAACCCTTCTTTAGTAGCATTAATACCCAGAGATGGATTCTTATCATTTGCCTCTTGGACATAGTGTTTTAAAATTTGTGATCAACATCTGGCACATTTTAGACTAGGCTGTCTCTAATTTCCTACTAACAATTGACCTTTTATGACCATGTCAACTGAAACATCAACTGGACCAGGTGAGAGACCCAGAAGGTGAGTCTTGGAAGATGAAGAGCTGGAAAGATTTGGCAGAAGTCACTAAGGACTACTACACGCCCAAACGCAACAACTCTACACCATCAAGTGTGTCCACATCCATTGAGTAAAAGTACAAAATACACATAGAATTTGCTTACGGCAACATGAGTTTGGTGGTTTCTTTCAGGGATGGAGGGAGGGAAGAAGAGAACAGAGGAGAAGGGGGAGGCATTTAATTTGTACATACAACATTTAATTTTCAAAAAGGAGATCCGGTGCAAGTATAGGAAAATGTTTACATCTGCCAAATGTGGA